TTGAATTTTATGGCAAGATGCAGAAGTCGAACAAATGTAACATGGTTTGAAAAAGATTAGCGATGGTAATAATAGGATGCAACATTTTTGATGTGTGATCAGTGACAAAGGCACAAAACTTGATTTCAGGTCATGTGTACAAGACATACATTACCAATCTAGTGCTAATCAAGTTAAAGAATTGTTGGAATATAACATGTTTTAAATGCTAAGTAGGCATCAAAATATGGGTAATTCTATGGTTTCATTGGAAATGCATCTCCAAGTTTTTGTCTTCCTTCATGGCAACTATATTGAGTAAGACCTATATATCCTTCAATGACACAGGGATTGAAACCAGATGGATTTTTAATAATGGAATAATACAACATCATAATTGAACGTATTTGTGTAGTCGAGCGATGTTTGGTATTGTTGACTAATTTCCAAAAATAATGGGCAGCAGATTGGAAGTCATTGTCAATGTATTGTTGAACACCTTTGTTGTATAAATTATTGATCATATTGTCACCAACCAAAGAGTATTCTTTTATAGTTTTTGTTACAAAATCACAAGAACGTTGTCCAAGGGAGATAAAGAGCTTGAGTCCAACAAAAAATATAATCTGATGAAGATCTTTAGCTGAAAAGCAGCCCTTAATTAATCTTTTCCACACCGTAGCAACTGATGCTGAGAAATGACTTGCTTCATAATGCGAGAAAATATTGTTCAAACTTGCTAAATAATCTGAATTTAACTGTTTTCCTTGATATACTATCCCAGTTAAAGCAGGATCCAGGAATACAGACTTTGAGAGCACCATTTTAAGTACTTGAGCAAAAACATTTTTCATCGCACTAATCACAAATGGGTGAGACAACAAACTCTGTGAATTATCAATGGTAATTGACATTGAATAAAGAACTATCATCAGATTTTCTTCTGCAAGGAAAATATCAGGAAAGTTTGCGGTAACCATAAGCAAATATGAACGAATATAACTATCATTTGTCAAAGAGGCAGGAGCATCAGAGTAAAGAGAACAAATATTTGGAATGTCTTGCAGATCGGTTCGAACTAAACATGCAAAGATATATCTTATGATTCCTATTTCATAGTATTGCTTGCTTATTTTATTCAATTTTCTATCTGTTTGAGGCAACTTGCAGAAACTTATGCCTTTCAAGAAAAGTTCCTTCTTCTTACTAATGTCTTGTTCTTCAATGCCTATTTCCACATAACACATTCCAACCAGTCCACTTGATAAAATATCTTCAATCACAGCTTCCAAGTTCACAATTTCTATTTGAGACTCTTCAATAATATTTGCTATTTCCAAACTTTGATACGCATCTTCCACTAAATTATACAACATTTGATATTTGAATATATACGCCATAATTTCTAGGGTAAGTAATTTCCCAAACATACGACACTTACATTCAAAAAGGTCTTTTACAGAAGAAATTAACTTGGTAGCACCTTTAAGTTTGTTTCCCATTTTCATCTCAGCAAAAGCTATTCCAAGTTCAAAGCCATAGAGTGAGCATATGTCATTGTTTTTTTCCATGCCTTCCATACAAAACTCTAACATTTCTACAGGATTCATGGAAATTCTCATCGACATAACTTGAGTGAAACGAATTCGCATTAGGATTTGGGTCCCCGCATGACCAAGAAGTCTTTCAAATCGTTGATTATTTAATTCAATAGATTCTCTGTGTTTATGTTGAAATACGTACAAAATGTTCAACATGTCCATTGCAAACAAAATCTTAGCTGGATGTTCCGAACTATCGTTAATAATTCCTTTCAAATAAATTTCTGTGTGCTCCATCCACTCTGTTGAAGGTCGTGTGTGGGTTTGTCGAGCTGCAAACATTGTGGCTTCAATCACCCTCATGTCAAATACTGCAGTTTTATCATCAGTAAACGGTTTTTCATTTAATAAATCTTTTTCTAATCTTGCCTCTTCCTCAAGTCTAGGAATGGCATCTTCATAAAGTTCTAATTGCATCTGGGCCAAAGTTTTTCCATCAGTAAATGTTTTTTGAGATTTTCCAAACATTGATGAAGAGAGTTCATCCCTAGGCATGACCTGTCTGATTTCTTCGAGAAGATTACTGACAAGAACAATCGTCTGTCTTAGGCAATGTATTGCACAATTTTTACTGACATATTCAAATATTTCTTCCTTATAAACCTTGAACCTACGGCATCCTGATTTAGCATATATTTTCAAGCGCAGTTCATGAGCAACTGCAAGAGCATACTTGATAGGATTACCAAGATAATCACAAAGATCAAAGCTAGATGATGTTGTTAAATAATTATTATCTGTACCATCTGTATCTTCGAGAAAACGAGCCCAGTAACTAATTAGTGCAGTGATGGGTCTATAGAATAAATTTTTCACATCAGTTTTGCAAGCAAGATTTGTTACAGTCCTTCCTGTGACTGTAAAGTTCACGTTTTCCATTATTTGCTTTTCAATGTTTTTAAAAACATCATACTTTGACTCTTTTTCTAGAATTGCCAATTTACATCTTTGAAACTCATCATATAACTCCTTATTTCCCCAAACAAAGCAAGTTCTTATGAGCATTTCTTTCAAATAGTAACCATTTTTTACATCTTCATCCGATGTTAAATAGGAAGCCATTTTACTGACAGGTTGAATCAGTTCAACTTTGTGCTTGCGATTTTTTGTTGGTTCTTGTCTACCCAAAGGTGTACTACATGCATGGGGAACCATTCCATCAAAAGATACACCGCTAGTAGTAAAATTGTCGTAATACCAATTTTTAGACTTATCCTCAGAATAAAGATCATTTATACTTTTCACGCCAACACTTCTGATTATAGTCTCCCCCAAACCAATCATTATAATCTCAAATATCACAGCAAACCATCTGAAATATTCTTTCACTTCATGATAATTTGGAGAATCATCAATATCGTCTTCAAGAATAATTACATGTTCAAAATCAGAATACAAAGTTATTTCTTCACGAGCCAAAGATCCCAAACCAACAAGAGCAAAAGAACATGGAGAATCTCCTAGAAGCTTCATACAATATTCAGCAATGTATGTCATCAACGTAATATAATTTTGTGTGTTTTTCTCCATCATGAGTTGGATCGTTTCAATTTTATTAGACTGTTTTTCAATAATTTCAAGTTTTGAAAGTTTTCCATCAAATGGTTCCATTTTCTGCAACTGATCTTTTTCATCCATTCTCAGATTCTTGAGTGTTTTTGAAATATGAGAGGATAATTCAGAGAGGGTTTTATCACACTGTTTACCTCCACAAGCTTGCAACAACACTTTCTCCATTGATAAAAGGAATTTGTGAACTTTATTTCTTCCTTTTATATCATATAATATTCTTCCATATCGAACTTTAGCACCGTGTAATAAAGCAGAACATTTTATAAAATCAAGTTTTTGTTTCATTCCTGTTGATGACTTTGCTTTTTCAAGATATAACTTGCCCATTTCAAACAAAATATCAGTTGATTCCTTTAGTTTTGATCGCCTTTCATCACCAAATGGTGTACATACTGCCTTCAACTGTTCAGTCAAATCTTTTTCTTTTTGAGATATTTCATCTTCTGTTTCCATATTCGAACCAATCATTATTTACTTACGTATACATTTCATATAAGAAATACTATTGGTGTACCTTATAAAAAATAAAACGCTAATTAGGTGAGAATTACTCCTTATAATCTATATATATACACTTTTATATCAAGGGATTGGCGAAATCAAAAAAAATGGAAATCAAAAAACAGTATTAAATATATATTACACAATATATAAAACTTCTGCATATCAACATCAATTAAATAAAACTTCCCATAGTTACTTAAAATAGATTAGGAATAGTCATAAGTAAAGTACTGGCCTTTACTGTCGGGTTATTGGGCTGTGATGAAGATGGCAGGTTTGATTTTATCTATTGGAAAGTTTGTTAAAAACGCGCTACAACATAGTTAAATGCAAAGCAAGTTCCAGAATATTGGCAATTATACCCTCCAATAAAAAATGTTATATCACTCATATTTACAGTGAAGAATATATGAAACAGCATACTGTATTTTTACCAGGATATCAGAGATATCTTCAATTAAAAGGCATAGCTAGACTAGAATGTTCATTAGGAAAAAGTGCACTTGAAAGAATATATCACAGTTATCTGACAAGTAAAAAAAAAAAAACACCACAATAGTGATCCATGTCGATTAATAAAAGAAGGTACCTACATCTATTGACACTGAGAATTCAGAAAATCATTTAAACGATTAGTTAGAATATGTTTATCAGGAAAAAGTACCGGTATATGTAAATATCACAGTGGTACAAATTACCTAACAGAATAGGAAAATTCCAAGTCAATCAATAAATATACCATGTATCTGCTACATGTAGTATTTCAAATAAAGAATATAATGATTCCATTACATTTGAACCCACGACAATTGCACTTGCATACTATTGCACCTATGGCAATTTTGTTTGTTTCACAGATATTATTTGTTTTACGGATATTTGAACCCATACTAACCCTAACCCATGGGTTTTAGCACCCGCATATAGATTGAACCCACGGATATACACATGGGTTCAAATGTACGGTCACCAATATAACATAATCAGTGGATTGAAAATAGAATACAAAATGATTTGAAGACTTGTTGCACTAAATGCAAAGTAAACAGCAAAACATGGATAAAACCATATACCGTAAATGCTCGTTTTAACGCCCGGTCTTGTTTAAGGGCCCGTTTGAATAGCCGCCCGTGTGAACAGGACATGAAAATAAATAAGGGCCGGTGCTTGAATACCCGCCCAGTGTAAAAGTTTTTTTTTGTTTTTGCGGATTTGTACCTGCCGTGCGTAGAAAAAGTCAAAATTTTCATTATTCTCGTTTAAATCATACGTGAGAACTGGAAATGACAATATACGGTATTAATTAATGTAACGATCGATCTTATCTACCGGTATTTTTGTGTGTAATTTTACTTTAAAAATAACAAGCGCCCCTGCTTGAATGAGGGCCCGGTTAGTGAGTATGTTTAAAAAAATAAGCGCCCGGGCTATTAAACGAGCAAATACGATATACCGAAAAAATAAGCTGCACCATATTTGTATGAACAAATCACAGATTTTGGTGCAATTTGATCCGAACTTATGCAAAATTGAAAATCTTCGTTTATCACAGAAACCAGACATAACACATAGTAATAAAACATGTAAAACCCAACAAAAATTCCAATAACACAGTTTGTGAAGGCATATCTGCCCATGTATATCATCAAATAAAATGCGTCTCCAAGTTATCACATCCTAGCAATATAAAAGTTTTGTCTTCCTTTGTGGAAATGAGATTGAGTCAAACTTAAATAACCTTTGATGACACAACGATCAAATCCGGAAGGATTTTTAATAATCGAATGATACAACATCACAATAGAACGTACTTGTGCAGTTGATCGATGTTTGGTATTGTTGACTATTTTCCAAAAATAACGGGCAGCAGATTGGAAGTCATTGTCAATGTATTGTTGAACACCTTTGTTGTAAAAATTACTGATCATATTGTCACCAACCAAAGAGTATTCTTTAATAGTTTTCATTACAAAATCACAAGAACGTTGTCCAAGGGAGATTAGGAGCTTGAGTCCAACAAAAAATATAATCCGTTGAAGATCTTTAGATGAAAAGCAGCCCTTAATTAATCTTTTCCACACAGTAGCAACTGATGCTGAAAAATGACTCTTTTCATAATGCGAGAAAATATTGTTCAAACCTACTAAAATATCAGAATCCAATTGTTCCGCTTGCATTACTATAGCATCCAAAGCAGGATCCAAGAACACAGACTTAAACAGTACAATTTTTAGTATTTGGGTCAAAAAACTTTTCATTGCACTAATCACAAATGGGTGACATAACAAACTCTGTAAATTATCAATTGTTATAGATGTTGAATAGAAGACTAGCGTCAGATTTTCTTCTGCAAAAGAAATAACAGGGAAATTTGAGATCACCATAAGAAAATATGAACGAAAGGAACTGTCATTTTTCAAGGAGGTCGGAGCATCAGAGTAAAGAGGACAAATATTTGGTACGTCTTGCAATTCCGTAGAAACCAAACATGTACGGATATATGACTTGATGCCCAATTCATAATAGTGCTTGGTCGGTTTAATCAATTTTCATTTGTAGGAGGTAACTTGCAGAAACTTATGCCTTTTAAAAGAAGTTCCTTTTTCTTGCTGATGTCTTGTTCTTTCATAGCTTTTTCCACATAACACACTCCAACCAGTCCACTTAATAAAATACCTTCATTCACAGCTTCCAAGTTCACAATTTCTATTTGAGACTCTTCAACGATATTTGTTAATTCCAAAGTCTGATATGCATCTTCTAATAAGTTCTGTACCATCTGATATTTAAATATATACGCCATAATTTCTAAGGTAAGTAATTTCCCAAAAACACGACATTTGCATTCAAAAAGATCTTTTACCAAAGAAAGCAACTTGTCGGCACCTTCAACTTTGTTTCCCATCTTTATTTCCGCAAGAGCTATTCCAAGTTTAAAGCCAAAGAGTGAGCATATGTCATTGTTTTTTTCTATCCCTTCCATACAATAGTACAAAATTTCTGGAGGACTCATACAAAACATCATTGATATAACTTGGGTGACACGAATTCGCATTAGAAATTTGGTCTCCACATGACCAAGAAGTCTTCCAAATCGTTGATTATTTAATTCAATGTATTCTCTGTGTCTAACTTGGAATGAGTACAAGATGTTCAAGATTTGCATTGCAAACAAAATCTTAGCTGGATGTTCTAAGTCATCTTCAATAATTTCTTTCAAATAAGCTTCTGTTTGCTTCATCCACTCAGTTGAAGGTGATGTTTTGGTTTGTCTAGCTGCCATCATTGTGGATTCAATCAACGTCAGATCGTATATTGCAATTTCCTTGTCAGTAGAAGGTTGTTCATGTAATAAATTTTTTTCTAATCTAGCTTCTTCTTCAAGTTTAGGAAGGGCATCTTCATAAAGTGCTAATTGCATCTGGGCCCAACTTTTTCCATCAGATATTGATTTATGAGGCCTTTCAAACATCGACGAAGGTTTATCACTAAGCACTGTCTTTCTGATATGTTCAAGAAGATTATTGAGAAGGACAAATGTCTGTGTTAGGCAGTATGTTGCACAATTTTTACTGACATATTCAAATATTTCTTCCTTGTAAACCTTGAACCTACGACATCCAGATTTTGCATATATTTTCAAGCGCAGTTCATGAGCAACTGCAAGTGCATACCCCATAGGATGACCAAAATTCCGACGAGAAATACCAAAGCTGGATGATGTTGTCAAAAAAATGTCATTTATAACTTCGATATAGCGAGCAGAGTAACTGATAAGCGCAGTGATTGGTCTATAAAACAAGTTTTTCACATCAATTTTGCTGGCAAGATTTGTTTCAGACCTCCTTGAAACTGTCGAGTTCACATTTTCCATTATTTGCTTTTCAATGTTTTTAGAAACCTCTTTTTTTGACTCTTTTTTGAGAATTGCCATTTTACAACTTTGAAACTCATCATATAAGTCCTTATTTCCCCAAACAAAGCAAGTTCTTAAGAGCATTTCTTTCAAATAGTAACCATTTTTGATATCTTCATCGGATGTTAAATAGGAAGCCATTTTACTGACAGGTTGAATCAGTTCAACTTTGTGCTTGCGATTTTTTGTTGGTTCTTGTCTACCCAAAGGTGTACTACATGCATGGGGAACCATTCCATCAAAAGATACACCACTAGTAGTAAAATTGTCGTAATACCAATTTTTAGACTTATCCTCAGAATAAAGGTCATTCATACTTTTCACGCCAACACTTCTGATTATAGTCTCCCCCAAACCAATCATAATAATTTCAAATATCACAGCAAACCATCTGAAATATTCCTTCACTTCATGATAATTTGGAGAATCATCAATACCGTCTTCAAGAATTATTACATGTTCAAAATCAGAATACAAAGTTATTTCCTCACGAGCCAAAGATCCCAAACCAACAAGAGCAAACAGACAAGGAGAATCACCTAGAATCTCCATACAATAATCAGCAATGTATGTCATCATCGCAACATAATTTTGTGTGTTTTCCTTCATCATGCGCTGAATAGTTTCAATTTTATTCAACTGTTTTTCAGAAATTTCATCTTCTTGAAGATTTTCATTGAATGGTTTCATTTGGTTCAAATGAATTTTTTCATTGTATCTCAGGCTCTTGAATATTCCTGAAATCTGAGAGGATAATTCTAACATAGCTTTGTCACATTGTTTACCTCCACAAGCTTGCAACAAAACTTTCTCCATCGATAAAAGGAATTTGTGAACTTCATTTCTTCCTTTTATATCGTATAATATTCTTTCATATCGAACTCTGGCACCATGTAATACAGCAGAACATTTTATAAAATCAAGTTTTTGTTTCATTCCTGTTGATGACTTTGCTTTTTCTAGATATAACTTGCCCATTTCAAACAAAATATCAGTTGATTCCTTTAGTTTTGATCGCCTTTCATCACCGAAGGGTGTACAAACTGCCTTTAACTGTTCAGCTAAATCTTTCTCTTTTTGGGATATTTCATCTTCTATTTCCATATTTTATTACTGATATTATTTTATTCAAAATGACTGTCACAAATATAACAGTAGTTATAAAATAGAGATTAGTGATGAGAATTTCAAAATTGTCCTATCAAAAAATATATGTAATAATGTAGTCTTCATTGGTCATATGTATCTGGCGTCTTAAGCTTGAATATTGCAAATGTTCTATAATATCAATATATATTTAGAATTATCCTATGACAAGCTCATACATGCTTTCATATTTGGTCCTATGATTTATTAACAATACTAGTTATAAATTATACAAAAATTTTGAGTTAAAAGTAGTATATTAATAAATTAATGATTAATTAAAATCAGTGTGTTTTTTTATCAAATAAAAATAAATTAATAAAAAAAGATTATGCTTAGCAGAAAATCTATATCAGAGGTGGCCAACATGTTTTCCACTGAGATCGACAAAAATCTTCATAATGTTTTGCGATTGACTGATATTAATAAGGTCCCCCAAAAATGTATGAGTACTAAATTTTGACATCCAGATGAAACCACAGTAACAGCAAAAATGTCAGAATATTTTAACGAGTAGCATATGAAGCGAGTACCCGTTGAGTGTTCCAGGTAATTAAAATAAGAAGAGAAAATTTTTTGCTTTACCATGGAACCCCATAAGACTTAAAAATTCTGTATAAGAAGGAAATAGATGACTAGTGATCTCTTTTATTTTTAGTTACTAATAACTTGAAGTCATTAGGTTCAGAAATTGCTAAAAAAACGATTCATTCACTCAATTTTATTTCGTAAGCCCATTAGTTCATAACGGGTCTTACTACTTACTGAATACAGCGCGAAGCACCGCAAAAGAGCGCGAAACAGAAGGAAACCAGCGCAAAACAGGAGACGCAGTTATTACCACCTCCTGCCACGAAAGAACCACGGCGCCTCTCGCCATGGTTTTATGGCGCAATTTCCGGTATATTTACAAGGTTATGTACCGGATTATAGGTCATCATGCAAAATTTTATCTACCTTTTTGGTGCTCCAGAAGTATGTGCAGCAATATGTCGCACAACCTGAATCCGCTACACACAAACACATACTATTTTCAGGTTGCGCGCCATCTTGGTGCACATACTTCTGGAGGTCCCTTTTTACCTAACCCTAAAGCAAACCATCTTCATATGGAAAATGTTCTAAAGATGCCCCGAACTCATTGCAAAATTTTTTTCTGCTTCATATTGTTTCCTCTGTTTTGCGCTCTTTCGCGGTGTTTTGCGCTCTTTCGCGGTGTTTTGCACTCTTTCCGAAGACCGGTTCATAACTGTTGGGTTGGAATTTACAATGGTTCTGTATGTTTCTCAACTTGAGCCCTCATTGCTGCATTGGGTTACTGCTATCTAAATTTGATATAACGGTAGTCCTTGAGCTATACCGGTACCGGTAGCAAATAATCACCTGTCAACAGATTGTGTCGAACTATTTTGATGGTGATAGTGGCTGTAGAGAGAGCCATGCATGCCCTATTTGAGAAATCAACTAAAATATAAAGTCACAAATGGCAGAATAGAGGTTTTGTACCCACACAGAATTGATTCTGGTTCACTCAGAGTCTGTATAAATTAAAACTATTACAAATTATGAAGTGGGCATTCTGAAATCCAGCTACATGAAACAGTATGTCAGTACCGTTTGTTACTCATGCAGCTGGATGCTGTAGCATTGCCAATGCGTACCGTACCTATCTACTCATACACTGTCTGCTGTTTCTCTTCCATTCTAGCGTACCGGTATGTTGTAAGCCAAGGAAGTAAGTACCGTACTGTTGAACTTGAACACACCTGCTTTAGCATTCACTTCACACTACACTAGACTAGCATGATTGTAAATCCATATTACATGTACAGCAATGTAATGTTCATTAACGGTACCGATATCGCCGTAAATAAACCTCCTCACTGGTCTACCACAGTAGTGGTTTTGGTTCGTTCTACCCACAATATTTAATAAAATCCGTTCAGAGACTGGAAACAAAATCTCGAAATTGACGCGGAAAGAATGCTATGAACAAAACTTTTCGAAGCGAAGGCCCGAAGACTTTTAATGGATACGAACACTCTAATAAATAAGACATATCAGTTCCGCTTTTTTATGTCGGTCACGCCAATCATGGGATGCTACATTCTAAAATCTAAGGTTATCCACTTGGCTTAGAAAAAACGCCAAATTAGTGAAAACTACACATACTTGCTTTGCATCTTTTTAATTTTTTGAGACTTTTTATATCCTGTATTGACGTGGTGAGGTAATAAAAAAGCATTTTCTTTGAATGGCAGGCAACGCCAAGTATACAAGCCCGATGATACAAAATTCAATTCTCGGGTTAATAAGCAATATGGTGGTGGAAGATTTCAGTATTGAAGCCAACGATTCGTTTGTGTCTATAATAGCCGAGGAGTCGTGGATCCCGTTTTGGTAGAAGCAATAACGTGCAGTCGATCAGAGTGAGTATGTCATCTGTGAATTCTCAGTTCTCCTCTTCAGGGTGTTCTCAGTCAAGGGCGATCGGATTCGAGTATTGTGTCGAACTGCAAATGCCGCAGAATAGTTGAGGATTTACGTACGAGTTTACCGTGACCAGCGCCGGATTTGGACCATGAGAGGCCCTAGTAGGGCCTAGGCCAGTGGTCCTTAACATTTTACTGACCACGTACCACTTCACTGTTTTTCACTAAGACCGCGTACCACCGACAAAGCTTCTTTTTTGGCGTGGGGAAAAAGACACAAGAAACGTGCTATGAGAGTATTTTATAATGTGACACTACATCCTTTGTGGCGTAACACGTAAAAAGGATAAAAACATGCCCATATCGCTTCATTTAGGGTGGGCAATAGCGGGCGAGGGCGATCTCTAGAGATGGCTATGGACGTTTCCCCGACCATTGACTCCGGAAAAATACTTTACAACTGTAAACTTCATGCTTATTCTGAGAGTGTTTTGATGATTTGGCGCATATAAAATGGTTTAAGTGTTTGAAATCATCATTTTTATTAAAATTAATCAACTATGTGCAGTCTGCAGGTACCGATATAGCCAGGACTGCCATAACGTCCTTATTTCTAAGATTTGTCCTTATTTTGAAGATATTTGTATTAGATAATAAATTTGTCCTTATTTCTAAGAAACGTCATTATTTCGACACGTGTCCTTTTTTTGTCCTCTAATATCAGGCACTCAGATTGGTCAAATTGACTGATTGATTTGCTAGAAATTATATTTACAACCTCATTGATTGCTACGTGCATTCATTACGTAATAAAAGCAAATGTATTGACACAGTGACAAAACAATAGCCTACCGACCAAAATCACTGCGTGTAACCTGAATCAAAATACAACTGAAAAGTGAAATGGAACAGATTGTTTCTAAGAATAAAAAACTGCTGGAGCAAAGTGTTCTTTTTAGCGCAAAGTATGATTAGACACGGGTCGCACTAGCATGAATACATTTTGTTTATTACATTTCGCTCTTTGTTATTCTATTAATATGTTTCTCTGATGTCCTTACTTTTGGATTCATATCGATGGCAGCCCTGGATATAGCTAAGTTTTAGCTTTGTTCATCGCAGCATTTGCGAGATTCAATTTCGATTACTGCAACTAAAGTAAAGCTTCGTGAAAGACATAATGACAATTAAGTTAATTAATTTACAATTATTTTCTTGATATACAACTGAAAACTGACAAATATCACTCAAAACTACAAAATTGAGGCAATGTTTGCAACCATGCTTGAATATCTGTTCAAGTGTCTAAGCGGCTGGGTGAAGAAATTGCAATTGTTACGTGTTGCGTCATTATTGACTTATTGGTTATAGTTACGAAAATAAACAAGGAAACTGGTGCTTGGGGAAACTTTCATAAACGTTGTTCAGCGAATACATACAGTAAGTAAGATAAATTGTTGCCAGCATATTTTAGCCAACTGAAAGGTTAATTGTAGGGCTGGGCATTTTCGAATACCTTGTGATTTCAGAATCGAATCGAATAATTTTTTCGAATCGAATCGAATCTCGAATACTTGAAAATATAAAATTGTAAGCGACTTTATTATAGTAATTGATCCTCTCAACAAATGAATTACTGAAGACATGGAAAAAATTACTCAGATAGATTACTGAGCGTTCACACAGAATAACGAACACGTTTTATCAATAACTCCTTACAGAAAATAGTCATATGTTAGAATTTCGTTGAAAAAATATGACTCCAATGAAAAAAAAATTGGGGAATTCACCTCGACCATTAGCGGAAAGATAAAAAACAAGATGGCGGGGATTCGAAATTCCCGTCTGAATCGATTCGAATGGTTTACTATTCGATTCGATTCGAATATTCGATTCGAAATGCCCAGCCCTAGTTAATTGTTGCAATAATTGAAATCTGCTCGCGTACCTCTTGGAAAGCTCCCGCGTACCACTAGTGGTACGCGTACCACAGGTTGAGAACCACTGGGCCCTAGGCTATTCCATCTGTAAGGCCCTTCCATATTTTCGAGCTTAGAATTTCTCTTTAAACAACATCACATGTCATTGCTTAATGTTAAAAATATCAGTGCATTAAAATCTTCGTTCTTTTTATTCTCCCCATTCACGAGTACAAATTTTTAATAAAAAGAATAAGAATTTGCTTAAGGCAGTTTTGCTTTTAATTTCTTTCTCTTGCGCTTGCTAGCTCCACTTTCAAATCTTTCACTCATAACAAATTTAGGGTTTGGTTATTTTTGTTTTGTCAGTATTAGGCATGCTTTTATATACATTTATAATTATACAATTCTTCTTTCAGTTTTTCAAGTTCTGCACAGGGGTTTCTTGAGTTGTTTTGCTCGTAGATTGTCAAGTGTTAAACGTTAGCATCTCTTTTGAAATGTGTTTTTTTCACAATTTTGTTCCAAGTAGCAGTCTACACTCTAGTCTACACAGTCTATAGAGAATTAGTGACTAATTCAGTTGCGCGACTTGACCTTTTAGCGACAAGAAGAGGGAAAAATACAGACGTCCGTTCTACTATCTATAACAAATAAAATAAGTGG